TCTCCAAACTAGGGTTCCCATCGCCCATTCTCTTGAGTTAAAGTCATTAAAAACCAATCTGCCCTTTTTCCTCAAGTCCTGAAAACCGATCCTGAACAACTTGAGGTCAGCTTCAGAGAAACCACCGTACAGCTCACGTAGACACAATCTCCATGCTTGTGTCTCTAGAGGGATAATGACAGGACCCCAGGGACACAGGATTTTGTGACCAGCTGGAAAATGGGAAGGACTCCCCAACAACTGCATGACTCAACTGTCACCTTGACCAATCCTGTGTGACTGGGATCTCAAAATCGCTCCTGAAACCACAGCGTACCCCACTCCATATGCTTAATATGGACTTGTGGATATAACGGATGGGACCACATTCCTTATCTTGGGCTGGAGGATGCACTTGGGGATGCTCTTACCTCCCAGGACAAGTACCTCCCACTTACCATCGATTCCCACAATGAGGATATAGTTAAGGGGAGACATCAGTCGCCCCTGATTTAGGCAAGTGGATGTCCACACGGCAAGTGCCGCAGGGCGGTGGCAGAGACGGGGACACCAGGACACATGGGGCCAGGGAAGACTGGTTTTCTAAAGGGTAAAAGGGATCATCAGATTCACGGACAATAACCGAGTCTGGTGGATTTAACTGGAAACAAGAGGAACACACGGACAGAAAGTTCCAGCACGTGTGATCAGACCTGAGCGATGGAGGAGTTTTCCCACAGAACAAAAGACGGCCGTCTACACAGGAAGAAGACGGGGAAGTTCAAGTCTACTAACAACGCGAAGGGTCCATCCACGCAGACAACCCAGAGAAATGACACACCCTGACGTGGAGAAAACACAGCAGGCAGAAATGAAACAGCCTGAATGTCCCCAGGACGTGAAGGAAACAGAAGATCAGGAAGAAGACATGTGAGTTACAGGTCACAACACGCTGGAAACGCTTCCACACAAGAGGAAACCCACACGTGAGAAATGCTCAGCCCTGGAGGAATCAGATAAACCAACGTGTGACGTCCAGGAGACCCCGTGTCACACACTCGAGCTGGACGCCATGAAGTCGCAAGTGACGGGACCCAAAACCGACACGTGGTTCACACTCTGCACCCTGTTCCTGCTAACGTGTAACTT